AATGAAGCATCATCCAATAAGACTGTTTATAATTGGTTTGCCGAATTCCAACGTGGACGTACCTTTCTTAGTGATGAATTCCGTGAAAGTCGTCCATCCACGTCTGTTGTTGCCACTAATGTTGATGCTGTGCGTGAAATGATTGAGCGAGAGCGGCACATAACATACCGCGAGATTCAGGCATTCTTAGGCATTGACATGAAAGCAATACATACGATTTTGCATGATCACTTGAGCATACGGAAACTTTGCAGTCGTTGGATCCCACACAATTTGACCGAAGCTCCAAAACAGGCTCGTGTTAAATGGAGCAAAGAAATGCTCAAGAAATTCAACCGAAGTCGGTCAAATTTGGTCTACAACATCGTTACTAGGGACGAAACATAGATCTATTCGCATGAGCCCAAAAGTAAACAACAATCCACTGTTTGGGTATTTTAATGAACCGAAACCAACAAAAGTTGTTCATTCACGCAGTGCTGCCAAGCAAACGATTGCTTGTTTCTTCGGTTATACCGGACATGTGACAACCATGGCTTTAGAGGGACTGTAAATACTGATTGGTATACAATTTGTTTGCCAGAAGTCATAAATGAATTGCGCAGAACAAACCGAAATCGTCGCATCATCCTTCATCATGACAACGCCAGCTGTCACACAGCACGTCAAACCATTGATTTTTTATCCAGTAATAATGTCGAATTGATGACTCATTGTCCGTATTCACCTGATTTATCACCAAATGACTTCTTTTTGTTCCCAAACATTAAAAATAAGATGCGTGATGAGCGATTTGAGTCGCCTGAAGCAGCTGTTGAAACATTTCGTACACTGATTTCTGAGGTTACAGTCTTAGAGTAAAAAAAATGCTTCGAAAATTGATTCGAGTGTATGTAAAAATATATCGATCTTAAAGGCGAATACTTCGAAAAACAATAAAGCCATTTATTGAATTTTACATGTTTTTTTCATATTGTTTGCAGAAACTTTTCCAGCAGTCTACGTACGTTATTTTTTATTTCTTACATTTTTTCATCTAACTTTATAAGGTCCCCAATTTACATTGAGATAAGATATTTTATTCTGCATGTTAGTATTTGTTAAGTAAACAATATTGAACCATTCTAACTTCATAAAGTCCCAAGACCATTATTGATTCATTAGACACGGGAGTTTTTCAGATAGATATGCATGATCGTGTATTATATACACATATAAGCATCTTTATTATTCCTTATTATACACTAAAAAAAGAGTATGGCGAGGAGTCAACCACGATGACAATCAGTGTACACTTCTTTAGAAACATATTACGACAGTACAATAATAAAACAGGCAATGCTAGCAATAGCAGTAACAATAATACGCTAGCAATATGCTAGCAGTACATAGTAGTATATAGCAATACATTAACAATACTTGACAATATTGCGCGCAATAGATTACAATATTTAGAATAACAATATTAATAATACAATAGCAATGCTAACAATAAAGTGTGTTGTATTACCATAATTAGCAATCACTGTACATTAGTGTACATTTTTTTAGCAGTAATGGACTTTTTTAGAATTTAGTAATAGCTATTAAATATATGGTGAAATAATGTCTATTAAATGTTTGGTTAATATAACCAAAAATAATGTTACTTTTATAAATATTTAATAAGTATTGTCAAACTGTTATCATTTGGAAATATTTACTAAATGTAACATTATTTTTCAGTTATATTAACCAAACGGTTTTAGTACATATTTATTCTAATAAAATGTTTCATATGTATATGTATATTTCAATCTTTCATTTCTGCATAATTTCTTTCACAAAATTTTCTGTGCTCATATTATCTCTAAGGATGCTCATATTAGCCTACCTAGAGGGTAATATGAGCATTATAGGCGGATAATAAGAGCATCATTTCAATATTTGCATTAAAATAATCAATACTAAAATACATAAAACATCAACAAATCTTTCAAATGGTATAAGATTTTTTTATTCTTCAGTATATGCTAAATAAATTAAAGCGTTTTTTTAATGTGTTTATAATACCCGGTCTTATCCTATACATATACTCAAATAATGAAATCTGAAGAGACAGATTTTGAGCAGAGTCTGCTAGCAATTTCTGATTGCAGAAAGGCAACAAATTGTACACAAACTTTATACTATCAGACAATGTCAGACTGCTGCATCAAACTGCTGTCAAAAATATGACATGCTATGCTAGCAAATTAGTGACAGAAACCGAACAGAGTCTGCTACATAACTTAAGAGCAGATTGCGACTAGAAACCGAACAGAGCCTGCTGATATAATCCGATGGCAAATTGACAGCAGAAACCGAGCAAGATCTGCCATTTTTATATATGGCCTCGCCACGAGATGGACTTGCTTCTCGTAAAAAGAAAACGTCCAGGAGTCTTATAAGAATTGGCGTATTTAAATCGAACAGATAAATCTCCTACAGATTCCCAAACTCTTTCGGAGTGTGCTTTCTAAATCTCTAAATATTTTTTTATTATTTTATAACTTTCTCATATGTATTTTGAAATGTGAAGCTAATTAATAATATTTTAGCAATAAAACTGTATTATAGTAATTATTTCTAGTTTTCACACCAATATATTATATATAAATCTGTAATTATATATAACCGTTTATATATATGTACACAAAATTTCTTATAAGATACTAGATTTAAATAAAAATGATCTTGCTCGATTTCTGATCGCAATCTGCTATCAGATCCTGTCAGCAGGTTTTTGATTTCTGCTGCCAATCTATTTGCATAGAATGTTCTGTCGGCAGAACAGAAGCAGAGTGCGACATCAGTTGTGATCAGTCTGCTGTTCTTTGAACATCTGATCAAATCTGCTATAAGTCTGTCGACATCCTGCTAACATTTTACTATCTGGATATATATAAATTTATTCCCTGCATAGAATTATCTGACTCTCCATGTAAAGCAGGGAAATAATAACTAACTTTGACTATTAATAACTTTTTAAGGAAGAACGATCGCCAACTAAAATCTGTCGAAAGTCATTCAGAGTCATAACGTAGTAATTATTTAGTTCCGGGGACCCAGCTCCGATGACCTTGACCTTGATAATATACGTAGGCTGCTGGAACAGTTTCTGCAATCTAGTCCTTCCAGTGGCGCTAACGTTCTCCTACTATCATATCCATAAAATTAGATGTTTTTAACCTATAATTCAAGTGACAGTTTGTACCCAAGCCAACTAGTTTTGTTTGCACAGTATTTTAAAAAAAGTTATTTTGTAAGAAAATGGAAATTTTGCGTGAAAATTTCCGGGCAATGATTTTTTACGATTACAAATGTAATCTAACTCCGAAACAATGCATCGATCGATTTCATTTGGCTTTTGGAAATGAAACACCATCCAATAGGACTGTTTATAATTTGCCGAATTTCAGCGTGGACATATCTTTCTTAGTGATGAATTCCGTGAAGGTCGTCCATCCACGTCTGTTGTTGCCACTAATGTTGATGCTGTGCGTGAAATGATTGAGCGAGACCGGCATATAACATACTGCGAGATTCAGGCATCCTTAGGCATTGATATGAAAGCAATACATACATATTTTGCATGATTACTTGAGCGTACGGAAACTTTGCAGTCGTTGGATCCCACACAATTTGACCGAAGCTCAAAAACAGGCTCGTGTTAAATGGAGCAAAGAAATGCTCAAGAAATTCAACACAATTTGACCGAGGTCGGTCAAATTTGGTCTACAACATCATTACTGAGGACGAAATACGGATCTATTCGTATGAGACCGAAAGTAAACAACAATCCACTGTTTGGGTATCCCAAAATGAACCGAAACCAACAAAAGTTGTTTGTTCACGCAGTGTTGCCAAGCAAATGATTGGTTGTTTCTTCGGTTATATCAGACAATCGTGGCTTTAGAGGATCGAAGGACTGTAAATACTGATGGTATACAACAATTTGTTTGCCAGAAGTCATAAATGAATTGTGTAGAACAAACCGAAATCGTCGCATCATCCTTCATCATGACAACGCTAGCTGTCACACAGCACGTCAAACCGTTGATTTTTTATCCAGTAATAATATCCATATTCACCTGATTTATCACCAAATGACTTCTTTTTGTTCCCAAACATTAAAAATAAGATGCGTGGTGAGCGATTTGAGTCGCTTGAAGCAACTGTTGAAACATTTCGTACACTCATTTCTGAGGTTACAGCCTTAGAGTGGAAAAAATGCGAGCGTATGCAAAAATGTATCGATCTTAAAGGCGAATACTTCGAAAAACAATAAAGCCATTTATCGAATTTTACATGTTTTTTTCATATTGTTTGCAGAAACTTTTCCAGCAGCCATCTCAATTAAATAATGACTACCTATAAATATTGTATAAATTGGATTAATTTTAGGTGGTACCCTAAAAAGAAAAATCAAATATCAGAAAAGATCTACCCAGTGATGTATATGCCGAAATTATATTATTTATTTTTATTTCGTAATTATTAATAATTTATTTAATTGTATTAAATGAGATGTATAATGTTTCAAACAATGCAGAAAAG